GTTTTAAAAAAAATCAAAGGTCAATAAATCTTTATGATATTCCTAGTGGGTTTTTTCAATATGAAGACTTTTTACAAACTACCAAGATTACATCATCTTTGTAATCCAACTTTTCTCCAGGCAAGATTTTTGATTAGCCATGAGTCTCAGCAGTGACATTACCCGTAAACCCTTTGTCCACTATGCGGCAGAATCTCTGAAAAGTTTAGACAGTAAAAAAACTGAACACAAAGAAGAAGGAAATGTCAGTTAAAGTGATCATGTGAGATAAGCAGAAATTACCGCGCTTTTAAAAGCCACAAAGCTCAAGCTGAAGGCCTCTTGTTAAAGACGTAAGTACACTTTACAACTTTAAGAAGCTGATCTTAAAACTTGAATGAAAGTTTATTCTTGTTGGTGCATGTTAGGGGTGTGTTTTGTGTCTTTGTCATGTTGCTGTTCAGTTAACTAAAAAATAATAATGCTTAAAAAATATTTCCCACAAATACTTTGTCTGAGTCAGACAGAGCACGTTGACACATGCAGTGTATTTCAGTTCAGCACGCGGTCAACCCTCAAGATATTTCAGTATGGAGCTGTGCCAGAATAAGTCCTGCAACCCGAATACTCTAATACTCTAAAAGCTCTAATTACAATAAAATTTGCGCAGCTTAATGGGATGCTGTGTCTGACCTTCCATGCGTGTGCACACATATGGCAGTTGTTGTATCATTTAGTCACGTTTTACTCCCCCAGATTACAGCCACAGGTCGTGTTGTACAGCTCAGTACACTGGCAGGGACAGGAGAGAGGACATAATGGTAAATGCTATTAATATTTAATTACAGATGATCTTCTTCACTGTAAAAATTAAATATAAAAAAATCATATAAACACATAATGCTGCAAACACTTTTTAGATCTTTTCATTAACCAGAAACTAGTTTTACCTGTAACTATAATTACTGTTTCGTACTTTGCCAAATTTCGTGCAACATTTGTGAACTTGCCAGCTGTAAATGTGCAGTTTCTAAAGCGAGTGTTCACACAAAATATGTTATTCAAATTAAGTTTTCTTGTCAGTGAATCATTGCCATAAAATGAAGACCTCCTCTGACATTGTTTAAACTGTTTCGTTCTTTTAGAATAAAAGTGTGTTAAAGGTTAACTTCCTCTGAAATGCTGCTTCTCAAACTTTTTCCACCTCACTGGAAAATAAAAGCAACCATCACATCTCAAAACTGAAAATGAAGCAGTCTGAGCACATGTGCTGCTGCAGCCTCTGCGTCAGCCTGCATTCAATCTTTTTGACCAGTAACTCAGAAATTAACTACATTTTTATGGTGTGTTTTTTCCTTAAAAGAGGCAGGTCGGTGTCTTATTCCTCTTTCATTTTCTTGTTTCATTGATTCTAGAAGTTTTACCAGAAACCCAGCTGAGTCTGGCAGACAGTCTGGACAGTTTAGTAACAGACTACTAAATTATGTCCTCCAATTGGTTTTAAAACTGAATATTTAAGGAAATATAATCCTGGTGCCTTTAAAAAAAAAGGTTTTCTTTCTTGCTTCCTGGTGGCCCAACTGTGGGCCAGTGTCCAGAATAATCTGACCCAACTCAGACTCTAAAAACTTTCATCACAAGGAATTTCTCTGTGAAGAATTTAAGAAAATTATCAATAATTTTGAGAATTTTCTGTGCATTTTACCTTAAAAAAATCACCTTAGTTTTACTTCACGTTTCACATCGGGGCCCTCTTGCACTGGGACCCACAGCTTCATTCCCCTACATGGCTTTATTTTTACTTCCTCTTTTCACACTTGGGTTTTTCCTAAATTTAATACTTTTGTTAATATTCTGCACAAAGTTGACTGTAAAACCATGTCCACCTGAAATCAGCCATTCTGCTGTGCGGCAATGATTTAAGAATGACAGAAAAGATTAAATAAAGAAAAAACATTTGTGTTCAGACATGTTGAAATGAAGTGAAAAGAAAGGAAAGGAAATGAACACAGGGCAAGTTTAAACAGAAACATAGAAGCATAACAGGGGGGCCCATATCAAGGGTTTTTTCTTTGGTGCTAACCGAGCTCATGTTGGATTCTGTGCAGAGCTCTGCAAAAGTCTCAGTCTTATTTCTGTATTTAATTACGTTATTTTCTAAAAAATAAAATAAAAAAATTAATTGTGTAATTTTTTTAATTTGCGCTTTTGAAATGAGGAATGTGCTGTTTCATAACAGAAGATTTCTTCATTGCACTTTCTACAGAAAATCAAGCCACAGTAAACAACAGTACTGAAACTTGGAGAATAAATGAGACTTACACCGTCAACAAACTTGCTCTGACTTATCTATTACAAACGATTACACAGTAAATACACAAATAAGTGACAAAGAAAATAAGCATTATATGACTGCTAAGAAATGAAAAAATGAGGAACTCACAGAAAATCTACAAACTGTGCACAGTTATATTTTACACTTCATTTACTTTCATGTAAATTGACTGGTGCTCACAGGCCTTGATTGTAAGTGCCAAAAGAATTTAAATCTCTGGGTTTAGCTATTATGACTTGTGGAAATTTCAATTTGAATTCATGTTAAAGTGGCCATCAGTAAGCTACACCACATGTTACTACTGCTCTCTGTGAGACTCGGGCCATAAAATAGAGAGGAAGCAGATGTAAAGGACACAGTTTTAGTGCCTGTGGTTAATATTTGACTGTTTAACAGGAAGATAGGAAAGAAACATCTGTTAAAGTGGAAAAAAATACACCACAAAGAGGTTACTGCAGAGACCAGAGAAGTTGAAATCGAGCTAAATGCTTGTTTTGACACACATTTTGTTCATTTGACTTTTAAAATGTAATTTTAAAACTTAATGAGCAACATCAACAAAAATTATCTGTGCTTACCGGTGTTGAGGTTATTACTCGAGAAATAAATAAACATATTACACAGAACACCTTTCTTAGAAGTAATACAGTAGTTTACTAAAAATTAATTTGTTATATTATTCATTATGTTACTTTCACGTTACTCTGAAAAATGACCTGAAACAAATTCTCTCATAATTACTTTTTAACAATATAAACCTAAAGGCTTCAGCCCCACATCCATCGCTGGTCCTTATAGAGTACAGAAAATATCCTCCCCAGTGTTTCTGTGTTGACTGAATGCTTAACCTCAACAGCTAATAATAAACTCAGATGTTGGAAGTTTAACAGTGTACGATCTCTGATTGGCTTCCATGTGTGCAGAGTCTATAGCAGGTATCGAGCAAGTTGGTGACATTAATGAACTGCTAAAAGTTGCTATGGCTTATGGTGCTTAAGAAACGTGTTGGTCCAGTTTTCACTGAAAACAGAAAAAGAGGTTGAAGTTAAAGCAAGAACTGAATTATGAAGAACAGAGGAAAATGTAAAACACACAGTGGTCTGCATCTAATTTATTCAGCAATGAATGAAAGTTATTTGACAAATTACATTTTTGCAGAAAGCATCTAAACTCATTAGGCAAAGAACATAGATGCATGTTTGATTTGTCATTAGTTTCAGTTTACTTCAGTTAATTCAGTCATGTTAGCTCATCGAGTTCCCAACCCAGTCCAGCCAGAAAAGGCTCCAGTGAACACCTCACTAATGATGACTCGGCTAAAAGCTTGAAGGGGGAAAAAAAGATGCTTTTGAAAATATAAAATATGCTTAAATAACTCCTCCCTTGCCACTTGCACATGCACAACTCCTGCTAGTTTCTGTTTCTTAATATAAAATTATAAATATAAATATTTTATGGCATCATGTAGGAATACGGCATTAAAAAAATAATTTTCAGAAGAGAATAAGCCCAAAAACTATTATTTAAACATGTGATGGTCTCAATAACAAATGTAAGCTATGACCAGTGTATGACAATACACTGCTCCACTATACACTACTTTAGTGTTTACTGTAAAAAGTTGAAATCAGCTTAGAAGTAAATGATTCTAGAAAATAGCTTCGTTTTCTAAAACATAATAAGAATCTACTAACCTTTTATTGAGTTAATGTTTTATCCAGAAAATAATCCTTTTTTCCTTTTACCGTTGGTTCCACCAAACGTTTAAAAAAAAAGAAGAAGTTTGAAATAAATCTCTGTTGTTATTGGTCAGTTTTTCCCGCGTTGGATCACTGCTGCAAAAATAATTTACAGTACAGACAAATTAAAGCAGTGAATGTACAGTCTCCCACAATCCTTTGCTTTGTGCAGCAAAATAATTTAAAAACATTTTAGAGTATCTTATACATACATATTCCTGTAAAAATACTGTTAAATTTACTAAAACCGTTTACAGTGTACTATGGCCGAGTTAAGGCCCCAAAAGAAGAAAAAAGAGAATAAAGTTGAAATTTCGAGATTAAAATTGTTTCAAGACAAACTGCTATGCCCTCCACAACATGCCGTGTCTAAATGAGTTAGTGAAACATCCTATCATGTCTGTGATGCAACAAACATCCTCTTTATTGCCTGAGGTTTTAACCATCCTCATTATGGATAAACTTGCATCTGTCCATTACCAGACTTTTCATTTTGTTCAACTCCACTCTTTCAAGATGCAGCTGTCTGCACCAGTTTTTCGTTTCAGTGTCTTTATCCTGATCAACACATAATATGTGTTAAAATAGAATTTTTTTTTCTTTGTTACTAAATCTGATTATGAAATAAGTTTTCACTAATTCATCTAAACAAGGTATTTTGTAGACAGATAAGCAGCTTTGGCAGTTCGTCCTGAAACAACAAATAAAATTTCAGCTTCTTTCTCGAAAAGATCAAAAATATATTTTTAATGTGTCTCTAACACTCCAGTCCGATCAGCAACAGACCTGATCGACAAAAAAGGCGCATAAAAGAACATAGAAACGAAAGTGAAACTAAAAAAAAAAGCAACAACAACAAAAACCCCCCACACACACGCTCACACACACACACACACGCTCACACACACACACGCACGCACGCACGCACACACACACACATAGAGGGTATCTCGTCTGCGCCATGCTGTAGTGCAGCAGCGAGTCTCATTGTCAGGAGAACCTTGAGAAACTTACGAATACTTGATTGAGTTATAAGAAAGAAGAAAACTCTTATGGCGTGAAAGTAAGTCACCGCCTATCTTCCTGCTTTATGTCGACTTTTGTCGGGCAGAGCGATCCGTGTGTGTTTTTTAATCAGCCGACATTTTTGTTTTACTGCAGTAACTGCGCACATAAGAAGGATCATCGCAGCAGCAGATTTCACAGTTTACGGCGACTCAGTATGAACGAACTCAAACTCTGCCATCGATTATTTTTATAATTCACTATTTAGGAGCGATCGAGCGATCGAGTGTGTTTATCCATATGTCCACGTTTAACCCTGTAAACACTCCAGTAACGTTATAAAACCGAGTCAAATTCGCATTGTAAGTCTTTTACTTTCATTTTCCATTGACTTTCTTTATAATATGATGGAAATAGATACTCTAACTTGTTTTTTAATACCTGCGTCACCTTCACGCTGTCATTGATCATCCGTGTAAACAAAAGACAGTTAAAGAGGCCCTGCACTGTCGCACCACTTCACTTTACTCACCCACTGCTGTTGGTGATTTACTAGTAATCTAGATCATCTTAAATCTTACCTGACAGTGCAGTGATTACCAAAAATATTAGGTCTGTAAACAAAGAGTAACTTTATTGAATATTAAAAAAGTGCATTTAGTGTCTAGGAGGGGAAATAAAGCTACAGCTGTCACTATAGGTGGCAGTGACAGCTGCCACCTACAGGCTGCCAGCTGTCACTGCAGCTCAGTTCAGGTTCAGGAAGAAGGATCTTTAACAGTGGAATTGCCAATAAACTGTATGAAGTCTGTACAGCTGGATTTTTATCATTTACAAACTATTCTCTGTTTTTTTCATTTAGTTGTGTTTCAGCTGCAGAAATGTCTGAGACAAGAAAGAGAAAACAAGCTGACTCCGCCCCCTCACTCTCCAAACAGCCAATCAGCTCCCGCAGTGGGCGGTTAGTCAGGTATGTCCGATCATAAATAAAGAAACTCTACATTGGAAAACGGTTTTAATTGCAGTGTGGTTACAGTTTATTATCTACACAGAGCTCTCTTTGTTTAATACTTACAGATAGGTGACATATTAAAGGAAAAAAAGTGGCTATGTTATGCTGGCAGGATTTGGAGCCCCTTAGAGGGAAGAGTCTATAAATTATTCAGGAGTTGTTCTGAGTGATAGAACATGACATGAGGTCTCACTGAATCATCCGATGAGGATGAAAATAATGTTACTCTGGTCTAACATGTTTGCCTGATCTCAAACAGCTGAACAGCTGTGGAAAAGTTTGGGGCTTCTTTATCAGGCGAGAGGGAAATCTTTTAGGAGAATGGAGTTCACCCTCACGTTAAGGTTACAAGACACTTGATGCACTTCTTGTAACCAGTGCACCAACATATTGTTGTTTTTCCTTTCATTTGTCACCTGCCTTCACATTCCTTTTCTGCCATCCTATTAGCATTTAGCTCAGAGGTCCATCATGGATCAAGGTTCACTGTTATTTTTTTAAAGGAAAAAAAAAAGATTCATATCCTATTCT